CCAACTACAACTCCAGAGCCAACTACAACTCCAGAGCCAGCTACCACCTCCCATGCGTCCACTACGACTCGGCGATTCATATCCTCATCCACAACCCCGGGAATGCTGCGTTCATCACCCATAACTAGTTCATTACCTATTAATACTCCAGGATCAACATCCTCCCTCGATTCCTTGGTGATACCGAGTCCATCCCAATCTTCATCGGCTACGCTTCTAGGTGGAGTAACCAGCATCAAAGTTACCACGGCCACACCACCAATCTCAACCTCTACTATACAGCCTGCAACGGTTCCTACACTGCCCACAATTAGCAGCTCAGTGGTTGGAGTTATTGCACCTTCAGGGGGGGCAAGCAACAGCAGTTCTTCCACGTCCAGACCGGTAATCCCAACCTCCAATCCCATCCAGCCAGCGAAGGCTACGCAGGCACAATCTACATCACTACAGCTTCCCACGTCAGAATCCAAGACATTGATGACCGTCACCGAGCCTGTGATCGTATATGTGACCAAAGGAGCACCAAGTCTCTTCTCGACAAGCGTCATTCACCACGCACCCAGCGTCAACAACTCATCGGTGTCGTCAGCAAATCCAACGGTAGAACCGTCTGATGAGCTGACAACTACATCTTTGAATTTCGTGACTATCCATTCCACTGCAACGTCGGTCGTTCGTGTGACTGTTTACCCAACATCATCATCATCACCTGCTTCTTCGTCTTCGATCCTGCCGTCCTCAACCGGGAGCACCGTGAGTGTGGATGGATCGCCTATAGAGACCAGTCATGCCAGTGCAACGTTAGTTGTTCCTATGACCACTAACTCGGCAACACCATCGCTTCCTTCGTCTTTGTTGTTGCCGTCCCCAGATGAGATTCCTCCTGGGGTGACAGCTCATGTCACTTCCACGAGTGTTTACCCGAGTACATCGTTACCTTCTTCTGTGTCTTCGTTGTTGCCGCCCTCAAGTCAGAGCGCCTCTATAGTGACAGCCCGTGTCACTTCCACAAGTGTTATTCCACTAACCGTTTACTCGACAACATTGCCATCTGCTCCATCGTCATTAAGTGAGACTGCTCCACTTGAGACTGCCCCTGTCGTGACAGCCCACGTCACTTCCACAAGTGTTGTTCCAGTGACCGTTTACTCGGCTACATCGTTACCTTATACCGTGCCTTCGTTGTTACCGTCCTTTAGTGAGACCACTTCACGTGAGACTGCTCCTGTTGCGACAACCCATGTCACTTCCACAAAAAGTGTTCACCTGACGTTGGATGGATCGACTTCTACAGGGGCAGCAGAAACTATACATGTAGCAGATACCACATATGCCATGGATGCCAACATTCCCACCACAACCTCTCAACCAGGCCAAGGCATACTTACTGTTAATCCAGTTACGCCGTCTGGCTTTATCACGATCACTGAGACTCAGACCGAGACAAAAACGGTTACAGATCGCATTACTGAGACTGTTACTGCCACTGTTACTCGGAATTAACTGTGTATTGGGAGGAAATTGACTGTTTCATCTTTTTAATCGGAGGCTTTCTTTCATGTGGTTCTTTCATTCGGACTATTCTTTCTGTTTTTCTTTCTATGTTGAACTGTTCCTTACTTATAACTACAAGTTAATATAAAATGCTACACTCAGGCTGAGCCATGAATAACATGTTTGAGCCTCTCTGGTCCCTTCGCAATGTACATAGACACCTTAGCTTTTAATAGTATAACCACAAATAAACCTCAACTACTCCGTACTCTACCTTGCCTTCCACCTCACCCTCCCAACCCACATGGCCCAATCCCGCACATCCTCCCTCTCACAAATCCTCTCAACAGTAAACCACTCCCTAGCGAGCTCCTCATTACTCGCCATACGGTGCACAAAACTATGACAAGCGCGACAAAGCCACGCCACACTATTCAACATCCACTCATCATGCCACCCCTTCTTAACAACCTTCGCATGCACCCCACGCGGAATCAGATGGTGATACGAGAGCGGGATCCAGTCGCGCTCGCAGATCTCGCACGCGTCCGCGCGCGTACTCGCCCACGCCGGCGGGCCAGTCGTCACGCTCGATGTGTACTCTGCCAGCACAGGTGCGAGGAAATCCAATAGGTCTGCTGCATCGGGGATTATACCGTAGACTAGTAGCGAGTCGGTTACGCTAACTGGGATTGGGGAGAATAAGGTTTCGAGTGTGGCGCGTGGGAGGGGAGTGTCGGTGTCTGGGGGGATGTAGAGGGTTGATAGGGTTGGGTCATGCTGGATAGCTGCGTAGCTTAGGGTTTGGAGGGATGCTGGGAAGGTAGCGAAGGTTTCTGAGGCTAGGAACTGGGGATGTTAGCTTTGGGCCTTGTTAGTTGTTGGCTGTGGTGTGTATGTTTTGCTGGGCCTGAGGGCTGGTTGCTTTGCGCTGGGTTGGACTAGCTGGGTGCATGTACATCAACAAATTCGGCGAGCTCTTCCGGGTCTGCTCTCTCGGTTGAGACTGTTGTCGCTGTTGTTACGTCTTTGCGCTCGGTGCGCTTGCCCTTTGGCTTCCGTCGCGTTGGCTTCGGTTTTTTCTCCGAGCGGGCCACGATGGCATTAGACAGACATTCGCGGAATACAGCATAGTTCTCATTGGAAGTCATTGAGACTTGATTAGGGGAGAGAATTCCTGACCCTATAGCTTGGCCCGGAGAGGATGTTAGTCAAGTCTGTGTTGCCCCACGGAATATTGACATCATCCTTCCACATTCTTCAAGGACGGTCAAAACTTTGTTGCTTTTTGACATCGGGAATTATGAAACATCATGACAGCCAAGACAGTTGTTGCTTTTGACCTATATGGCACTTTACTCTCAACTGAATCAATCGTCAAACAACTAGAGAAAAATTACGACAATGCCAAGGCGCAGTCGATCTCCGCGCTCTGGAGGCGGTATCAATTGGAGTACACATGGAGATTAAATAGCATGGGCAAGCAACACTTCCGAGCTTGGGGCTCAAATTATTGACGATCAAAAGGCCGATATGAAGATTTTTCAGCTATCACACGTAACTCCCTGTTACACGCGCTGGCCGACAACAACGAGCAGCTGAGCAACGACAACATCGAACACTTGATGCAAGCTTACGACAGTCTCTCTACGTTTTCTGACGTGGATCCAGCTTTGACCCATATAGCTACCGATTCAACCATCCAAGCCGTAATATTCTCGAACGGGACGAGAGCAATGGTGTACAACTCGGTTTTACGATCCAAGGACCTTTCGCCGCACGCGAGCGTCTTCCAAGATATCGTCACCGTAGACGAAGTCCAGCAATATAAGCCATCAAAGGCAAGCTACGAGCACCTTGCGAAGCAGACAGGCCAAGACCCATCGCAGATGAACAAACTTTGGCTAATTAGCGGCAACCCTTTCGACATTGTCGGGGCGCGCGCTACAGGCATGCAAGCTATATGGGTTGATCGCGTTGGTGCAGGATGGAAGGATGCCGTGGCTCCAGATCTACAGCCAACGGTCATTGTACACAGTCTGGAGCATATTGTGAATGAAATTCGTCACTATCGGGTTTAAGCCAAGGAACGTTGAACTTCGAATAAAGGTTCCAAACACCCAAAGAGGCTTGAAAAGGAGGAATGTACAGCTGAATATATTTCCAAACGCTCCACACTTGAGTAGAAGAGTTTGGGGTAAGCCAGCAGATTTGGTCTTTCCTCCCATTTCCCCTCCAGAACAGTGATTGTAACAAAAGTTCAGAGTGAATAGGGAGGAATTCAGTTTATGTGAAGAAGAAAAGGAAAAGGGCGCTCGGCGAAAAATTTCTCGATGAAATAGTACCGGCTTAGTCATTCCGACTGATATCCACGAATCACGTGAGATCTTATCGATAAGCTGCTGCCTGCTTTCGAATTCGTCCATCGCCGTTGGCAGGGATTCTTTGAACCTGTGAACCTGAAAGTCATGTCGCAACTCCTGGATCCCAGTCGAGCTGCTTGGCTGTATCCCCTTCGGGTATGTTGCTTTGGGGGGTTTGCAAAGCTTCATTACTAACCTAAGCAGGGAATCTACTATTTTGCGTCGAATCGGTTCCTATGGCCTCTCTTCAAGGCCCGCCTTCTCCCCATCGTCCTCCTCTCATCATTTATATACTTCATCCTCTTCTTCTTCACCTACCTACCCCAGGTTGCCTTCCTTGCCATCTTCCAGGGGAACTCAGCATGGGTGAGTGGGGCATTCCTGGTGCTTGGTGAAGGAGCTGCGATTGTTGCCGCACTCTTCGAGGCATTCTTTGTCGACGAGACTCTAGTGGATATATTCGATGCAGTGTTGGTGAATGAGGGTCAGGAGGAGCTTGTCACCACCTCGCGGGTCATTTATCCCGAGCCCGGCAACCCGGCCAAGCGTCTGGGCACCCCGACCACCAGTGCCGTGTATTCTCCATTTTCGTTGCGGCAGATCGCTGAGTTTATCATTCTGCTTCCGCTTATCTTCATTCCGGTGGCCGGAACTCCTATGTTCCTAGTTTTAACTGGCTATCGTGCCGGTCCCTTGCATCACTGGCGTTACTTTCACCTGTTGGATATGTCCAAGCAGCAGAGAAAGGAAAGTATTAGTCGGCGCCAGCTGCAGTACACTACGTGAGTCATGTTCATTTCCTCTGTCGATATGAGATCTCACACACTCTAGGTTTGGGACGGTGGCTCTGATCCTCCAACTGATTCCTCCTTTCTCTATGCTATTTTTGATGACCACGGCTGCTGGATCTGCACTTTGGGTGACGGACATCGAACGCAAGCGGCGAGCTATCAACCAGCAGTCCAGTCGAATTGGTGAGCAATACCGTGACGATATTATGCCATGACCTGTGAACGATATATTTCTTTCGGGTGACCGAGATTACTGCAACAGGCATATAATTTTCCATTTCTGATTCCTAATTCGCCCCTTTTCTGTGTCACTACTTAGGGAGGGACTGATCACAGTCCAATGATCCTCGATAACTCCCATTGTAATTCCCTGTGCCTTGTCAATTTCGTAAAAAATATAAATAGAAAAAGGTCTGGAGCTCAGGTGTTGGATTACGAGCGGCACGTGATTGCACCACCATCCGAGACATGTTTTCTTTATTGCGAATATATTCACAATATGATCCTCAGAATTATCCATTGAAAACAAATCATCGGAAATATCTTTTTGATAGTTGTTTTAGCAGAGTTCAAGTGCCCCAGATTTCCAGACCCTGGACCCCTGGAGGTTTGACCCGCTTAGCAATTCGGAAGTGTGACCCCGGACCCCGAAGCTGAGATCCGGATCTCTTCCCCAGAGCTTCAGCTTTTAAAGTTCCTGGTTTATTTCCGACTTTCGGCACTCGGATTTTGGCATTCTTCCGGTTCATAATTAAACCTGGAGTCTGGATGTACAGATAGTCTTGGGCCGGTTAAACATGACCTGACAGCTCGAGGTGTGGTCACCTCGGCAATTTGCTCACCGATGGACTTGAAAACTAGGCTGCGCAAGGCCTGTGATGCCTGTAGTATCCGGAAAGTGAAGGTATGGTTCTTTTATCATAATATGCGGGGGGGGGAAATACTGATTTACATGCAAGTGTGATACTGGTGGACCGCCTTGTCGGTCGTGCGCTAGCTTGGATATTCCATGCACCTATGAAAGACCAAGCAGACGCCGCGGGCCTCCTAACCGCCATGCAGAGGCGTTTAAGAAACAAAGGCGGGAACCTGAAGATACAGCGTCGCCGAGCCCTGCAGACTATCTGTCGCCGGCGACGACGACGACTCCCCTAGCAACGCCATTCACAAACCCTCAACCTGCATCGTCCCCTCTTTCGGTGGAATCGATATGTTCTTTGCACACAATTCAGATGTTGCTGGATGACTTTTTTACTTACATCCATCCTTTGGTCCCAATTCCACACGAGCCTTCTTTTCGAGCAGCCTTTGAACGCCGGGAAGATGTCACCAACCACACATTTTTGGCACTTCTGGCATCAATGATTGGACTGCTAGTGGCTTCCTTCCCTCGGCGACCTAAACTCCGACTCAACACGGAAGCCGAGCGCACCGCTTTCCCCAATTCTATAGCTCTAGTAAAGCGGTGCCTTGACGTTGCCATTCAAGCCCGCGGGATCGGATACCTTGATCGCAATGCCACAGTCTACGATGCAGCGATCAGCTATTTTGTCGGTATATGTGCCGGATATATTTACAACATGCGTCGATGCCGTGTGTACCTGTCGGAATGCCGAGTCATGCTCCAAGTGTATGATTTGTGCCGATCTCCGACCACCACCAACCGTCCATCCTCGACATCAGGACCCCTCAGCCCAATGCCATCGGCCTCAGTAATGGTGCATGATCAACCAGCACATAATTTCACGGAAAGCCAAGGTGTCGACCTCATCACTCAAGAGCTCGGCCGGCGTCTGTTCTATGTCACCTTTGTCGGATATCAGACATTACTCCAGATGGGCTCTTCAGATATTAAGGTTCATGTTCCTCCAGAGACACCAACGGACCGTTATCCACCACTCCCGCTGGAGATCGACGATGAATTTTTATTCTCAACACATGTTGAGTCGCAGCCATCCGACCGAGTTTCACAGTTAGTCGGATTCAACGCAAATGTCCGCGTCTACAGCTCATACACCACCCTGCTAGCGTGGGAAATTGCGTTCGGCAGCGGTCAAGTCTTCGATTGGGAGCACCAGCGCCACTGCATTTGGGACTGTCTCAAGCAAGCAAAATCTGCACTTATCAATGTTCCTGCTGAGTTGTCTCTCCAACATCCGAAACACATCTCTCATATATCCCCGGCGGGTTTGTCAGGTCTTGGCGGAGATGATACAATCTTCAGCTACTCGAATCATCATATCCACCAAGAACGACGTGCTATACAGTATGAGATCCAGAAAGCCAATATCTACGCTAGTCAGCTATGCACCAGGTCCTATCTGGTCGAGAAGTACTGGAGCCTTTTCGAGACCTTTTCAAAGTATGGAAAGTCACCTAAATTTACGACCCCGGGCAGTACCACGCCACATATCAAAATCGAAGGAAGACCCAATTCGACACCGAGTGCGAATGCGACTCCCACTGGTACAGCCACGTCGGAAACCAACACCCAGGCTCAACCTCATGCGCAAACAGACTATATCTGCCGCATGATGGCCGAAGAGCGCAAACTGGTCATCAAAGATCTCTTCGTGCTATTACGAACAGTGAACGAAGTGAACATGGAGCCAAACGGCGCAAGCATTGTATGTTCCCCTTGATCACTATCTATCATGTATGAAACTGACAAAAGGAGCATTTTCGCAGACCAATAAAATCCGCCAAGTAGCATCCACCCTCCTTAGTCTCTCCCACCGACCGAATCAATCTAACACCGAAATCCCAAACCTCGCAACCCTTGCCGCACCATCACTATCACCAACAGCCGCGCCGCCAGGCCTCCACATCCTCACCGCCGCAGAGGCGGAGTCCTACCTACACGCATTCATCGAGACGCTTGTCCGACTGGAATGTCATTCTCCCATGGGTGATGCAGGCAGTCCCGTCGACGGTGTTAGTCCGCAAATGAACGGCCGCGCTATGAGCTATTTGAGTGATTATGAGCGCGATCAAGAAGAATTGAGCCAGTGGGCGAGTTTGAAGGAGTATCAGCGGAAGTTCGCGGAAGCTGGTGGTGTTTTATATCAGTTGTAGTATTTTCAGCATCTCCTTTTGATGTTGTTCTTTCCCCTTCGACATTCGTGTGCATTACTTCGGGATGGGAAGGCCAGAGGCTCTGGCGCATTGGATCAAATGGATATTATATCTTTCGGCATTGAAATACGAATATATCAAAGAGCCAATATATGATATACTTTGAATACAGCGTGTCTCATCATCTCAATCCAGTTGGATGTGTTTAGAATTCGACTTCAACAGTCCTCCACGAGTTCAGCAAAGCAGCGGCTATAGTCCCAGCATGTCGAAGTCCTGCGTTATCAACAGGGTCGCATAAGCAGTCGACTATTCTTGTTTAGTAAAAAAGCCATGAATGACAAGACAATGTGGCCATTTAGCCATGATATTTGAACATTTACACATGCACTGCAAAAGCAGCACCCTCCCTAATTACATTGATTGTATGCTTTTTTCTTCCGTTCCCTAGTAGATAGGGATGCAACAACGCCTAGACCTTGAATGCAAGTCAACCATGTCGAGAGAAATAGGAAAATATAATACAAATTTTGGATGAAGCTCATGAGGGGAATGGAGAGTGTGAGATGATCCAAACAAATAATACAAGCAGTCATGACGACCGCACAGATCCTCAGATCACAGAGCGAATATCTCACAGATAGCGCTTCTCGGAGATCTCTTCGTAGCACTGGACATGGTCACCAGGTGCGAAATCTGTCCAGTTTTCGAAAGCGATACCACATTCTGTGTCTTTGCGCATCTCGGTGACGTCTTTCTTGACGTTTTTGAGGGAAACCATTGTGCCTATTGTAGAAAGTTTGTTTAATCCCAAGTTAATTGTGTTGGGCTGCTTGTGATATGCTTACCATCGTAGACTATCTCCTCCCCACGAAGCACTCTGACCTTGCGAGTTTTGTTGATGATACCGTTGCGCACACGACTTCCAGCAATGGCTGTCTTTTCACGTCCCTTGACAGTGATCTCGAAAACCTGCTGGACCTCGGCTTCTCCGGTCACACGCATAGTGACCGTCGGAGGCAGTTTTTCGCTGAGAATGGCCTTGACGTCATCAATCAGTTTGTAAATGATGTTGTGGTCCAGAATTTCGACACCATCAGTCTCTGCAATACGCATGATATTAGGGTCAATGGCCTGATTGAATGAGATGATCTTGCCCTTGGCACTGCCAGCATGTTCGATATCAAATTCACTGATAGGGCCAACACCCGAACGGATGATATTGGCAAAGACTTCGTTGGTACCGACTGCTGCAACGGAGTTCAAGACCGCCTCCACCGAACCGTCTACATCGCCCTTGAGGACGAAATTGACCGACTTCGGGCCAGTTGGTTCCACTTCCTCTGTTGTTTCTTCCTCTTCTTTCTCGCGCCTGCGCTTCTCGAGAAGGTCACGACGAGCCTCATTGATGGCAACCATATCAATACCCATCTTCTGGGTATCGGACTTCTCCAAGCGGTAATCCACAACGTCCTTGGCTTTCTGCTCGGTTGGTGCCTGTAGGAGCTCGGTGCCAGCACCTGGTTGCTCCCTCCAACCATCGATCTCAACGGGCATTCCAGGCGTGGCTTCACTGATGGTCACACCGGCTTCATTCCGGAGAGTGCGAACACGAGCCCACGCGGTACCGGCAACAATGATATCGCCTGGTCGCAAGGTTCCACGTCGAATCAGAACGGATGCTACGCGGCCATAACTCTTTGTAGAGGCCTCGATTACCCAGCCTTCGACGTTACAGGTGGTGGCTGCGCGGTGGTCGAGCATTTCCGAGAGCGCGACGATGGCTTCTTCCAGTTCAACCATTCCTTGTCCAGTTTTGCCGCTGACACCGATGGCCTGAACGTCACCTCCGTAATCCTCCACATGGATACCATGAACAGAAAGGTCACCCTTAACTCGATCAGGGTTGCTGCCCTCCTTGTCAATTTTGCTAATGGCGACAATGACGGGAACCTTGGCTTGGGTAGCGTGCTTGATTGCCTCGATAGTTTGTGGCTTAACACTGTCGTCCGCGGCGACCACAAGCACCACAATATCGGTTACATCGGCACCTCGGCGACGCATTTCCAAGAATGCAGAATGGCCGGGGGTATCAAGGAAGGTAATAGCTTTTCCGGAAGGCATCATTACGGAGAATGCACCAATATGCTGAGTGATACCACCATGTTCAGATGCTGCCACAGATGAATTGCGCAGCCAATCCAAGATGGTGGTTTTGCCGTGATCAACGTGACCCATAATAGTGACCACAGGTGGCCGAGATGGTAGATCAGATGTGTCCTCTAGTTCAGCGGCAGCGTATAGATCTTCCTTGCCGCTGTCGAAAATGGCCTCGTAGTTGAATTCGGCTGCCACCAATCCAGCAGTTTCTGCATCAAGAATATCCCTATATGTGACTTCCTCGAAGCCCATCTCCGCCATTCGCTGCACAAATTGCGCCGGCCGCACACCAATGACATCGGCCAAGCTACTAACACTGATGAATTCGGGCAGGTAGAGAGGAGCCGGTGCTGCCAGCGCGGCGGCCTTCTTTGCAGCCCTTTGGGCGTCCTTTTCTTTCTGCTGGCGTCTCCGCTCTATGCGGAGGCGCTCGCGATCTTCCGAATCAAAGTCGGCCCCATCAGACTCGCTCCCACGTCCCCTGCGTCCATCACGGCGCTTCATAGGCTTCGGCTGCGGCTGTTCTTGGGCCTCTAGGTTTTCTAGTTGCTCCAGTGCAGACATATCCCAAGACCACTGGTTCTTCTTGAAATCTTCTGCTTCCTCCTTTGTCCGGGGTCGGTCAGATTTCTCTGAATCGCGCTGTCTAGTTTCTTTTGTACTTGGCTGAGCGTCTTGTTCCAAATCAGACAAAACTGAATCCCCCAATCGCTGGAACTTTCTAGTATACTCAGAAGGGGAACGGGATTGTCTGGACTGTGAAGGTCCGGGAGAATCGCTATATTCTCTAGTAATTCGGAGCTTTGGCTGGGCGTCACCGGGTCGAGAGGTTTTGCAGAATGGACACACTTGTTTTGTGGCAAAAACATGTTTCATGCACTGAGGGCAGTTCCAGTCGTTATGGGCCATTGGATGGTCCCTAGTCGCCCTGTTCTGGAATGGGCCCTGAAATCTGCTGTGGGTCTTTTGAGGGGCGAATGGATTTTCTTCTTCAAATGCCGGTTTCTTTCCTCGGATGGACGGGTTCCTCTCCTGATTCCGTGAGTTGCCTTTGGGCCACCTCATGTAGCTACCTGCATTCTCTTTTTCAAACGAGGTTCTCTCTTGAGTGAACGGGTTCCTCTCCTGATTCCGCGCGGTTTCTTTCGGCCAACTCGTGTAGCTGCCTGAATTATCTTCTTTGAACGGATTCTTCTCTTGAGTGGACGGGTTCCTCCCTTGATTCCGTGAGGTGTCTCTTGACCACCTCAGGTTACCACCTGGCTTCTCTTCTTCAAATGGATTCTTCTCCTGGATGGACATGTTTCTCTCCTGATTCCGTGACGTTTCTCTTGATCCGACAGAGACATCTTGATTATCCCGAGGTCCCACGCGCCGCACGTACGGTTTCCTCTGTTGGTTTGATTCCGCTGAGTTCCATTGCTGATTCGACTGTCTCCGTTGCGATGGTGCAGGTGCTGGTGGCGGCGGTTGACTATTGGCGACAAGGGTTTGGCGCATCGCTTGTTCTGCGAGACTCAGGCCCGCCGATGGCGTAGTTTGTTTAGGGCCCCATCGGCTGCCGAACTTGGGCTTCGCCGGTGCTTTATTTGAAGCAGTCCCATCACTATTTCCATTCGATGGATCCGACGAGTTCCAACGCGTCGCGGACAACCGTAAGGTCCGTCGAATTGTGAGAGCTGTTAAAGTGGGTGTTCGGTAGGCTGAATTCGACCACTCAGCCCGACGCGATAGCTGTACTGTTAGTTAGATACTGTCGCAAGATTTCACAACTGCAAACTTACCCTGCAGACTGGCCGACGATGCATCATTCATTAGTCTATCCACATCTGGATCCGTCAACTTTTTTCCCTTTCCAGAAGTTCGTAGCTTATGTCACCGCTTTGGTCAGCTGTGGAGATCAAAATGCTTATGTAAAATGTCCGCCGGTAAAGTCACGTGTCTCGGCATCCTGATCCAATCAGATGGCAGATGGCGCAATAGCGATAAGCGGGCTTGATATAAAGTCTGGAGTCTCCGGATTGTGTCCCTGTCTGTACCTTTGGTCGTTACAATTGAATTATTTGAGACATGGAGACCGAGGTAATCGACAGTCTGGATAAGGGCGGCGGTGCCCTCCGCACCGTCAAGGATCTGGCCGCGGGCGCAGCGGGTGGAATGGCCCAGGTTCTCCTCGGTATGTGCACCCTACTTTGTTTGAATTCCGGGGGAAAGCCATGGACATCATGAGATGAGAATCTTGCCATGAGTGTTGTTTTCTTGGTCAAAATATCAAAAATGCAAAATTAAAGCAATTGCTAACAAGAAACTAGGTCAACCCTTCGGTATGTGATCTGCCTAAAGCACATCTCAGGAGGCATTGGTTAACAACTCGGCAGACATTGTCAAGGTGCGCCTGCAAACTACCACTCAGTACAAGAGTGCGCTAGAGTGCGCAACCCAGATCTTCAAGAAGGAAGGTCCCACAGCTTTCTATAAGGGCACACTGACCCCGCTTATCGGTATCGGTGCTTGCGTGAGTTACCCCCGCGGCCAAGGTCCAATATTGGCAACTCCTCTAACCAACCAATTCAGGTGTCTGTCCAATTTGGCGCCTATCATGAAGCTCGTCGCCGTTTGGAAGAGCTGAACAAGAAGAAATATGCCGACTCGACCCTTTCTTACACCCAGTACTACATGGCTGGTTCATTCGCCGGTCTCACCAACTCCGTGCTGTCAGGCCCAATTGAGCATGTCCGTATTCGCCTGCAGGCACAGCCGCACGGCGCTGGCCGTCTGTACTCAGGTCCTATCGACTGTGTGAGCAAGCTGGCCGCACAGGGCGGTGCCCTTCGCGGTATTTACCGCGGCCAAGCGGTTACTCTCCTCCGTGAGGCCCAGGCTTACGGTGCCTGGTTCATGGCCTTCGAGTTCCTGATGAATCAGGATGCCAAGCGTAACAATGTTAAACGTGAGGATCTCTCCAAGGCAAAGATTGCCATCTACGGTGGTCTAGCTGGTGAGGTCCTCTGGCTCTCCAGCTACCCGTTCGACGTTATCAAGAGTAAGATGCAGACCGATGGATTCGGCGCGCAGCAAAAGTTCAGCAACATGCGCGACTGCTTCAAGAAGACCTATGCCATTGAGGGTCTCGGTGGTTTCTGGAAGGGTATTGGCCCTACTCTGCTGAGAGCTATGCCTGTTTCTGCCGGAACATTCCTGACGTATGTTTGCCCTTTACTCTGCTCCTTTATGATGCTTGTGTTTCTAGGATTTGAGCTAACCCCTTTCCTCAGTGTTGAGTTGGCCATGCAGGCACTCGGTTAAAGATCTACCAAGGATAAATTTTTATGATGAAAGTTGACGCATTTGGTTTTTGTTCGGTTTCACTTGAATTCTTTGATATCCAGGGCTTGTTAAATACCCCACAGTTGGATGGAGGCCCACTACAAAAGTGAACGGCATTTCAAAGCTTATAGAAATCTATATCCATGTCTGACATTTCGCAATTGTGAGATTCGATATACGTATACAGTGTTTCCAGTATACAGAGTTAAGATTCTTACATTGCCAACGGGGAGGCCCCCCTCAGCCCCTAACCCCCAAACTCCTGCCAGCAGTAGGAAAATAACTCAACTTCAAACCAGCAAAGTCCTACTTCGAGGCAAAATACTCTCACGAAACATATAAAATATCTACCTATGCGTAGAACAACTCCAAAACAGGACATCTAGCCCAGACGAAGTCCTTTTGTATATTCAGCTTAGCGAGATACATGTAATATCTAAGTTGATTCGAGCAGGATTGTTTGCTTGGCGATGGACATGGCGCTTTTTTGAACTTCATGTCAATCTGTTGTATAGCGATTCGGTGGTAACCACAAAACCAGATATATATCAGCTCGTGGTGCATCTTGAATATGACGAAAATAAGTAAGCAGCCAGAGCACACATAATCACAGGTTTGGTGTTCTTCTCATGGAGATTGATTGTATACATATCCGGTGATTCAGATTGAAGAGAAGAGGTTGATATTGGTTTGACGCCTGAGGCATTCATGCAGCAGCCTCGGCAGGCAAACCCTGATGTCATCTGTCCAGGTCATCGTCAACTTATCCTGCTTCGACCTTCCCAATTGCAACAACTATGCTCTGTGGTCATATTTGAATGTGCCATTGAATCATCACCGTGTATTTCATAATATACCACTACATTTCCATTTGCTCGAATCCCACTCTATGCTTACAACCATGGCCACAACTACCGCGCGACCCGTCACCCTCCTCTCGACTGTTCTCCTCATATACCCTGCAACATTATTACTCGGGTCTTTGTACTCAACCATATCCCCAACAGCGCGCCATTCCAGAGATTTGTCCGGCTCTTCCCCACATCCTGCAAGCCCTATGGCCCCATCCCTGGCTGCAGACCTGCACCTATCCGAAAGCCCTGTCAACTACTTCGCTCGAAAGAATAATATCTTCAATATCTACTTCGTAAAAGTCGGATGGCTATGGACCACAGCTGCCTTTGTTTCGCTCCTCATATTCCAACCCCTCTACTCTTCATCTCGCCGGGAATCCTCCTCACAGCAAGAAGCACGTTTCCGACGCACCCTCCAAGCCATTCTACGCTACGCACTCGCGACAACAATATGGTACCTTGCAACACAATGGTTCTTCGGGCCGGCAATCATTGATCGCGGTTTCGTGGCCACAGGCGGCAAATGTGAACAGGCTCTCGAGGAAGTCGGGAAGATGGCCGCTGGGCAGAGTAGCCCAACCGACCTGGAAACATTATTCACAGCAGCCACGTGCAAAACCGCTGGTGGTGCATGGAGAGGTGGACATGATATCAGTGGACATGTGCTGATGCTGGTTCTGGCCACAGGGCTCCTCGCATTTGAGGCGGTCGGGGCTAGCGCACGCGCACCCGCATGTTTGTCACGTTCTGGTCCCGCTGGGGACGCGGGACGTGAGCGCAAGGCCAGTGATGCTGATAGTACTCCGGTGGTCGATTCAACCGAGACTGGCGGGTTCGCGAGAACGTGGTCACTCCGTCTTGTTTGGGGTGTTGTTGGCCTGGACTGGTGGATGCTCTTCATGACCGCGATCTGGTTTCACACTTGGTTAGAAAAGGTGCGTGCATTCTTGGGCAAAATCATATCACGGTCTACATTTCTGTTGGCTAACAATTCCTTTAGTGGTCTGGTCTGTTCATTGCTTTGAGTGCTGTGTATGCCATCTATATTCTTCCGAGACGGATAGCACCATTGAGAGACGTGGTTGGACTTCCGGGAGTATAGAGATCTGTTTTGTCTGCGAGATCTGCTTCTCAGCAGCTGTGAATATATCGAATGATAATGATAGATTGCATTGTTTTTAAGCATGGAGAAGTGCTCGAGTGGTCTTCATCCTGGCGTTGAAATTCCTGGTTATACATGGAAAAGTGGTTGGTACCTTTCATGCTTTGGCTGCCTTTAGGCGTCGGGTCTTTGCATGGATACTATTGTACATTGTAGTGTGATAATCCCGGAATGTCTACTCCTTACCATTGTTATTTTAGCTATAAGACCGAGGAGGAATTGTCCTAACTGTTAGTAGAAAAGCATATTGCAAGACTCTCTGAGAGACTTTTTCTTTTTTGTGTTTTATAGACATTCTTTCCTGGGCCTGCGGGCCCTGATTGATGCCAATGACTGCTTGTCTTGCTCCTTCATCGCATGTAACTTTGTTCATTGCTAAGGTGTTGGTGTTGGTTCCTGTCCCAGGAATCCAGCTTGAAATGCTGGGATTGACGAACGTGTCAAAATACCTAACTCATCATATGTAGGGGCTCGTTTGACTTACCCCCTGGAATTAACGCCGACGCATACATCACCCGCGTGATAGGCCGCAAGTCCTCTGGTGTCAGATCATCGGATATGGATAGCTGCATGTATGGATCCCAAGCAGCAATGATGGCATCGGAGTAGTATTTCAAATCAACTGTGCGTTCTTTTTCCGCGTCTACCTCTGACTGGCATTGGATGCCCATGCAGGTCCCAAACTCGCGGAAGGCCAACCGAAATCGGATATTGCGCTCCAAATATTGATTGATCTCGAACAGATTGTCTGGAAACATCCCAAGTCAGCTTGGTTCTTATTGTCTTACGTTGCTTCGCGGGTATAGTCACAAGAGTGACTGACATATCTGCTCGAAGCATTTCCCCGCCAGGTCAGCAGCCCAGCGTTCTCGCCCAGAAAACCAATGTGCCGTCCATAAAGTCATACCCAGATCCAGAGGATCACTTGAAACAAAGTGCTCTCCTTTTCGCTCCATCGTGCGTCTATAGTCGTCAATCTCTTCGGCCAAGAACGCACCGTCGCCTGCTTCCATGGCTGTATCTTGCAGCAGTCGAAAAACAACAAAGCCATCAATCGGATCAAGATTCCCCTCTGACTTAACCATTGGCTCTGTTAGATCCATGTTCATTTTCCATATCATTCTCGGCCGAGCTGCCGCGCGATCAACAAAGAACTTTGGGTGTATCGCTTTTGCCAGCTCTATGGCTTGCCTGTTGTACTTTAAATCTCCCGATGCTTTGGCCATCCGGTTCAATGCAAACATCCAAACCGTTAGATAATGGTGATACTGCCCATCGCCATCTGGACCACGAGCATCTGTCTTGCCGATCCTCAATCCACCGCTTAGCGGGTTCGCGTCTGTTGCTCCTAGCAGTCTTGAGTGACCGTCTCGATTTCTACCTAGAATATCATGGACAGTCTCAATCAGACGAGTAGCCAGTATCAGATAACGGTCATCGCCAATGGTGTCATTGCCAGTTCGCTTATACTCGTTGTGCATTGTGAGAAAGTTGACAACCCCAAAGGCATCTGTCCATAGGTATCGCCCCCGATGGCCGCCTGATCTTGGTGGTGGAGTCCAGGTTTTTGGGTCTTCGATGCTGCTAAAACTCCCGTAAAGGGATTCCATGGCTTGTCCAAAGCGGTCTAGGCGCGGTGACGGACTGCTGATTGGGAGAGCCATTCTCGAGGTATGTATCTTCGAAACAGGATGGGCATATGCGTAGTTGCTGGGATGAATGATTCCTTGCCTAGCAGTGTTCTGTTTGAAAAATAGTAACCTGGACCACTGCATTTGTTATAGATTTTATTCTCGGGTGTCATTTATCCCACTATCATCGGAATTGAAGTATTGTGTTTTGCCTTCGACGATGAAGTCATGATGACTGTTTAGCTACTGAAATGTGAATAATTCGCTGGGAAAAGTCCCGCGAAATAAAGAGGATATGTTGTATTGATGAAAGAAGAATAGAAATGCCGTGGCTAATCTCCGGCGTTTCAGTGCTCGACATGTTCATCTATGTGAGATATTCTGCGCGAAGATATCCCAATCACAGCTTAACCGTCCATGCGCTTGGCGTCTATATTCCGAACTACGAAAACGATGCCTCAACTACAGGAGCTTTTTAATTCAGCAGTGCAGCCCCTGCCTGTAATCGAAGACAAGACTTTCGCATCACACTTTGATACCTTCGCAGGTAACCGAGTGATTCTTCTAGGCGATGGCAGTCATGGAACATCCGAGTTCTATTCGGCACGCGCCGAGATAACTAAGCGACTCATCGAGCGACACGGCTATACCATGGTCGCGGTCGAAGCTGACTGGCCGGATGCAGAGGCCATCGACCGATATGTGCGCTTGCGTCCAGGCCCGAAGGCGCAAATTGGAGGAAGTGCGAAAGGATATGAACCATTCAAGCGATTTCCTACCTGGATGTGGAGAAATTCCGAGATGCAACGGCTAGTTGAATGGATGCGTGATCGAAATCAGGGCCTCCCACCCGAGCAAAGAGCCGGATTCTACGGGCTGGACCTGTACAGCATGGGTGCCTCTATCGGTGCTGTGATCGACTATTTGGACCGAGTAGACCCACAGGCAAGCAAGCAAGCGCGCCAGCGGTATGGGTGTCTAGAGCCTTGGGTCGATGATCCCACTTCATATGGTCTAGCATCCCTTCGAGGCATGGAAGACTGTGAAGCCCCAGTTATGAAGATGCTTGGAGACCTTTTGGAGCGACGTCTTGAATACATCGGCTCGCGGGATGGTGATGAATATCACAGCGGCGAACAGAATGCCCACCTGGTTCGCGACGCGGAGAAGTACTACAAAGCAATGTACTACAGCTCAGCAAGTTCATGGAATCTGCGCGACATGCACATGTTTGAAACCTTGGAACGTCTGTTAAAGCACAATGAGGGAGAGAAAGCCATTGTGTGGGCACACAATTCCCACGTCGGGGATGCGCGTTATACAAGCATGGGCTTTCGTCGAAAGGAGCTCAACATTGGGCAACTATGTCGTGAGCGACTGGGACGCGAGAATGTGACCATTCTTGGATGCGGAACTCACACTGGCACCGTTGCAGCGGCCCATGAGTGGGATGATGATATGGAGGTCATGTCCGTCCGTCCATCCCGGGATGACAGTTGGGAGATTGTAGCCCATGATACTGGGGTACCACGCTTCGTGCTCGACCTGCGTCAGGACCGCATAGATCCCTCTCTGCGCTCAGCTATCGCCGCTGAGCAACGCCTACAGCGTTTCATTGGAGTCATCTACCGCCCTGACACAGAGCGCGCCTCGCACTACTCGCAAGCCTTCCTTCACAAACAGTTTGATGGTTATATTTGGTTTGATAAGACCCGGGCTGTTGAACCTTTGGAAATCATCCAGCCCGACACGCCCCTTGGAAAGGGCGAAACTTATCCATTTGGACTCTAGTGATATACTTCTTTTGTTGGCCACAAATGCAAAAGATTTTTCACGTATCGTCTTCTCTTAATGCTGTGTTTCTTTAGTGTGCCTGATTACCGCAGGACTCAAGGCTCTTTCTAACAAATTCAACCAGAGCGAACTATATGATAGCGAAGGGAATGATTATGCGGGCTAACAACTCGGCAATGAATATTTTGGGGTCGATTTTCCGCTTTACCGGGGTTACCTCCTTAAATCTCTGTATGCTTGTGAAATGGCCTACTGTCTTCAACTTATCTACTCTGTTGCGTTCCATTCACTTTGTTGTATTGCATTTCCTATCTTGATGTCTCTTCACTATAGTGCTCGACAAGAAACCGGAAATTATGTTGTCCAAACTCATCCGATCCACCTTGCTAGTGCCTCTTCCTCAAGAACAGGAATATGGCACCAGCCCAAATTGTGCCGGCCTCGTAATATCTCCCCCCCCCC